TATTCCCTTACTTTGAAGATTGCCTCATCCTCACTACTCTGACGGGTGGTTGGCCTTTGAGGATCGTTCATTTGTAGTGAAACGCTTTTGAGCCAATTTTTTAAGCAGAGGCGGTAATATTTTTCTGTGAATTTGTGAATTATATTCAGATCTTTTTGTTTCAAACGATACTTTAGATTGCCGGTGAATATCATATGTTTGGTGCCGGAACCTCTGGGATGGAAAAAAAGAAACACAAACGCAAACATGAAAAGACATTGGGCGATAATGTGGACGATCCAGAGAGAAAGCTTCGTAAACTTAAAAAGGACGAGGATAAAGAAAAGCGAAAAAAGAAGAAAAAGGAAAAGAAAAAGAAGGTGCCATTGGTTTTTCTCTTGTGGCACTGTACAAATTTTTAAATAATTTTAATATTTATGTTTTCATTACTCTATGTAATCTGTTATGTTAATACCATGCATTTTCAGCACCTGATATTATTAGTGTCAGAACAGCTTTATTTACTGTTGCCTTTGTTATAATATTTGTTTGGTAACGAACTTCGAGAGTAGGACACTTCTTTTTCCATCCGTTTACGAGCTTCAGGGTTGAACTTAGCATTTTTAAAGAGATTTATTGTGATGAAGATAAGCAACGGTTAGGAATAATTATGGTAATGCACAATGCTCCCTTTAAAATTTGGTGAAAATAATGGCATGTGATGATTAATAAATACTCCCACATTTCATTCATTTTCAAAATTAACAATTCCTTTCGGCTCGCTGGGGTGGCAGCTTCAGCAGGCATTTCCTGTCTTCAGCTTAGTGGTCTGGGTTTCACCGCGTATCAATGTCAGGTTTTTAATATAATAGAACCCTGCTCCTCCATCGCCATTGTTTCGTTTGCCAAGTGATTTTGCTTTGTCTCCTGTGTATCCATATATCATATTTAAATTATTGCTGTTGTGATCTCGACCTGTAGAAGTGTCGATGCGTAATGGAGAACATCGCGAACTGCCGTGTTCCGATCCTTGTAGTCTCGTTACGCCAGCAGTCATTCGAAGAAATTTTTACTTCCATATACCGCTAGTTCCTGCTGAGAGTTACTGTCGTGACAGGCCATTTATTCCATTCCTTGTTATCACTAGTCTTCCTTTCTGACATTTTAAAAGTACTAAGCATGGTACCAAGAAGTGATATCGTGTAAGAGGGATAAGCCGTTTTGCTGTGAAGGGTCCTTAATGTTTTAGTTGTGCACTATCAGGGCCAGTTATTTCCATGATCGATTAATGCTACGATCGAAACTGTAATACATGCCTTCTCTCTAGGTCAGATTAAATCTGTGTTCGCTGACACTGTTGTTGTTCAGTAAGTCGCTTGATGCATTTTTAATTGTGTATATACTTCTTCTGACTGCGCTGTTTAGAAGCAAACCAACGTGGAAGAAACCATTCTGAAAAATTCGGGTTCTGGTCAACTGGATTTTTTGGACTTCTGAAGACATTATTACAGGGAATTTAGATTTTTCTTTGGAACAAAGACTTTACCTCGTTTACTTATTGAAATTTGTCAGAACATTCATCCGAAAACAGCTAAATGGACGAAACCCTTTAAGCAGAATTTTTATTTCAGTTTTTTTGCGATGGCAGCAAAATTGAATGTCACTTGGACTATGGTGGCAGTATGTTTTATCGCATGACCTCACTCGAACAAGGATTGCTAGAAACATTGCGTCGTTCAAACTGTATTTGCCGTCGCTGTCCATCAGTCGGTATCAATGACTGCTTATCCTTTCATGTCGCGCAGGCACACCAACAGACTTTGTCTCTGACGTTCCTGATCCTGCGCCGTTTTTTGAGTTTCTACTAGAGATAGCCCTAGTGTGGAGCGCAATTTTTCCCGAAATTTATCCAGAGTTATTTGTGGTCGTTCGCTGGGTCTTCGACCAGCTGTTTTGGTAAGTAGCAGCTGTTTCGCGTTCCTTTCTGAAAGGATTCG